TGGAGTTGCAATGATCATGAGAACGGTGAGGAATCAGCACAGAACTACACGGGAGGATCTTGTCAATGATCTCAAGGCAGCTGGGACCATAGTCCCCAAGAAAACAATTGGTAACACACTACGCCGTGAAGGACTGAAATCCTGCAGCGCCCGCAAGGTCCCCCTGCTCAAGAAAGCACATATACAGGCCCGTCTGACGTTTGCCAATGAACATCTGAATGATTCAGAGGAGAACTGGGTGAAAGTGTTGTGGTCAGATGAGACCAAAATCGAGCTCTTTGGCTTCAACTTAACTCGCCGTGTTCGGAGGGGGAGGAATGCTGCCTATGACCCCAAGAACACCATCCCCACCGTCAAACATGGAGGTGGAAACATTATGCTTTGGGGGTGTTTTTCTGCTAAGGGGACAGGACAACTTCACCGCATCGAAGGGACAATGGACGGGGCCATGTACCGTCAAATCTTGGGTGAGAACCTCCTTCCCTCAGCCAGGGGGACCTTGCGGACGCTGCAGGATTTCAGTCCTTCACGGCGTAGTGTGTTACCAATTGTTTTCTTGGTGACTATGGTCCCAGCTGCAATCACAAAGTACTAAGTCATGTTTTGCAGAGGGGTCAAATACTTATTTCCCTCATTAAAATGCAAATCAATTTATGAAATTTTTGACATTCTTTTTTCTGGATTTCTCACTGTTCAAATAAACCTACCATTAAAATTATAGACTGATCATGTCTTTGTCAGTGGGCAAACGTACAAAATCAGCAGGGGATCAAATACTTTTTTCCCTCATTGTATATATATGTAATAATATTGTAACTCCTTTGGCAGGCGCCCTGCTCCGAAGATCAATACATGTTACTTCTGACGTGGACACTTTTGCCAGATCCAGTGCACGCTTCTTCTGTTCTTCATCAACACAATTAACCAATACAAGACTGCTTCTAATCGGTGCCCCAGCACATTGACTCTGTACCGGTACCCCCTGTATATAGCCTCCCTACTGTTATTTCACATTGACTCTACCGGTACCCCCTGTATATAGCCTCCCTACTGTTATTTCCCATTGACTCTGTACCGGTACCCCCTGTATATAGCCTCCCTACTGTTATTTCCCATTGACTCTGTACCGGTACCCCCTGTATATAGCCTCCCTACTGTTATTTCCCATTGACTCTGTACCGGTACCCCCCTGTATATAGCCTCCTATGTTATTTCCCATTGACTCTGTACCGGTACCCCCCTGTATATAGCCTCTCTACTGTTATTTCCCATTGACTCTGTACCGGTACCCCCTGTATATAGCCTCCCTACTGTTATTTCCCATTGACTCTGTACCGGTACCCCCTGTATATAGCCTCCCTACTGTTATTTCCCATTGACTCTGTACCGGTACCCCCGTATATAGCCTCCCTACTGTTATTTCCCATTGACTCTGTACCGGTACCCCCTGTATATAGCCTCCCTACTGTTATTTCCCATTGACTCTGTACCGGTACCCCCTGTATATAGCCTCCCTACTGTTATTTTACTGCTGCTCTTTAATTATTTGTTATTTTTAACTTAACACTTTTTTTCTTAAAACTGCATTGTTGGTTAAGGGCTTGTCAGTAAGCATTTCACTGTAATGTCTACACCTGTTGTATTCGGCGCATGTGGCAAATATTTTTTTTTATAGTCACCTTGTGTAACAATGTACACTGGGAGTCAGGAAGCAAGTACAGGGAGTGCATTTAATGATAAATGAAACAAAACAAGAGTCAGGAACAGAATCAATAACCCCTGGGGAAGGAACCAAAGGGAGTGACATATATATAGGGGAGGGAATCAGGAAGGTGATGGAGTCCAGGTGAGTCTGATGAGGCGCTGGTGCCCGTAACGATGGTGACAGGTGTGTGTAATAAAGAGCAGCCTGGTGACCTAGAGACGTTATGGGACCGGTCCTTGTCTTCATTATGGGACCGGTCCTTGTCTTCATTATGGGACCGGTCCTTGTCTTCATTATGGGACCGGTCCTTGTCTTCATTATGGGAACGGTCCTTGTCTTCATTATGGGAACGGTCCTTGTCTTCATTATGGGACCGGTCCTTGTCTTCATTATGGGACCGGTCCTTGTCTTCATTATGGGACCGGTCCTTGTCTTCATTATGGGACCGGTCCTACAACTTATACTCATTTGGTTCCATTCTTTGATATCTCTATTTACTCTTTTTTCATTATCACACACTTCACTAGCTGCACTTTCAGATTCAAGCACAGTCGCCATTTCCTCCTCTCAGGCCTGCTGCTTTCCTGATCATTCATTGCAGGTCTAAAACAGTCCCTGGTGAGTTGAGTTTCAGGGTACTAGACAACATTATTCTGACATTATTGTTACTTTAATGATTGTTAAATGCTGATGTTCATTATGTCAGTGTTTGTTTTGTAAGGTATTTGGTTTAGCTGAAGACTTTGGTTTGTAATGTTTGGATACCTGAATGTAGCCAGCCACGCCTTGTTGTTGTGTTATATATAACACTTGATCCTTGGCATCTAGACAAACCTCTGAAAATGTATTGCCAAAGACTTAGGGCAGGGTTTCCCAAACTCAGTCCTTGGGACCCCAAGGGGTGCATGTTTGGGTTTTTGCCCTAGCACTACACAGCTGATTCAAATAATCAACTAATCATCAAGCTTTGATAATTTGAATCAGCTGTGTAGTGCTAGGGCAAAAAAACTAAACTTGGGACCAAGTTTGGGAAAAGCTGACTTAGGGGGGAACATGTCTGATTACTCTTCCCATTAATGTGCCTAAAATGCACCATCTAAAAACACTCCATTTAGACTGCAGATTGTCAAACATTTCAACTAATTCAATAATACAAGTATGTGGAAACCCTTTCAAATTAGTGGATTTGGCTATTTCTACAACGCCTGTTGCTGACGGGTGTATAAACTCTAGCACAGAGCCATGCAATCTCCATTGGCAGTAGAATGGCCTTACTGAAGAGCTCAGTGACTTTCAACGTGGCACCGTCATAGGATGCCACCTTTCCAACAAGTCAGTTCGTCAAATTTCTGCCCTGCTAGAGCTGCCCCGGTCAACTGTAAGTGCTGTTATTGTGAAGTGGAAACGTCTAGGAGCAACAACGGCTCAGCCGTGAAGTGGTAGGCCACACAAGCTCACAGAACGGGAGTGCTGAAGCACATAGCATGTAAAAATTGTCTGTCCTCGGTTGCAACATTCACTACCGAGTTCCAAACTGCCTCTGGAAGCAACGCCAGCACAATAACTGTTCATCGGGAGCTTCATGAAATGGGTTTCCATGGCCGAGCAGCCACACACAAGCCTAAGATCACCATGCGCAATTCCAAGTGTCGGCTGGATTGGTGTAATGCTCGCTGCCATTGGACTCTGGAGCAGTGGAAACGCATTCTCTGGAGTGATGAATCACGCTTCGCCATCTGGCAGTCCAAAGGACAAATCTGGGTTTGGCGGATGCCAGGAGAACGCTACCTGCCCCAATGCATAGTGCCAACTGTAAAGTTTGGTGGAGGAGGAATTATGGTCTGGGGTTGTTTTTCATGGTTCGGGCTAGGCCCCTTAGTTCCAGTGAAGGGAAATCTTAACACTACAGCATACAATGACATTCTAGACGATTCTGTGCATCCAACTTTGTGGCAACAGTTTGGGGAAGGCCCTTTCCTGTTTCAGCATGACAATGCCCCCGTGCACAAAGCGAGGTCCATACAGAAAGGGTTTGTCGAGATCGGTGTTGAAGAACTTGACTGGCCTGCACTCTGACCTCAACCCCATCGAACATCTTTGGGATGAATTGGAATTACGACTGCGAGCCAGGCCTAATCGCCCAACATCAGTGCCCGACCTCACTAATGCTCTTGTGGCTGAATGGAAGCAAGTCCCCGCAGCAATGTTCCAACATCTATTAGAAAGCCTTCCCAGAAGAGTGGAGGCTGCTATAGCAGCAATGGGGGGACCAACTCCATATTAATGCCTATTAATAACCCCCCCCCCCCCCTCCCCTCCCCTCCCCTCCCCTCCCATCCTCTAGTGTCTATGCTGCAATAGTCTATTGATAATTAACATGGATCTTTACACTTAATATATTCATTCATCCAGGTGATAGAAATGGCTGTCCGATTTTGCTTAATTCACGGGAGCGCGCATTAAACCGATTCGCGCGCCCATGTGTGCACGGTCCCAACAAAACATATAGACACGTGACCCAGTGAGCCAATCAGAGTTTAAAACCCTATGCGCGCTCCTGGTCGAAACGAAGGAAACGGGAAGAGGTAAAAGAAGCGCTAACATTTAGCGATCTGTCTGTAAATTAGTAACTCTCAGAACATTAACTAGCTACACAATGTCTGAAGAAAAGCCAAAGGTAAGAAATGTTGTGTGTGATTGAATATTTCCGTGCATTCTGCCTGTCGAGCGTACTGATATGTGGGTGATAACGTTAGATTGCCAGATTCCGGTTTGAGCGGGTAAAAAGAGAAAACAAAAGGTTGTTCGATTTGCGGACATTTGGCCGTGCGACGTTTTGCGTGTAGCTAACCAACTATCTGATAGATGTATGCCTAGATGTAGTGTACTCTTATCTACTGTTTCGTGAGGTGATTGTTTGCAGTGAAACAGCGCCATTGTGACTTTTCTGCGCCCATTGGAATGGGGACCAACGTTGTCTCTTTGCGGCTTTTTGAGCTAACTAACTAGCATGCTAACGTTAGCCTAACCCCCCCCCCATGACCGGCCAGTTAGCTATCTAGGTTAGCATGGCTCTTGTTGCTAGAGGTAGCTAGCTAAGCTATTGCTGCTAGCTAAAAAGCTAAACACAAACAAATGTTTGACACCAAGCAAGGACATTATTCTTCGCCAGACCGTGTGAACTCCTCACCCTACCAGTACTGTTATGCTCCTCTATTGGGAAATAGTTGTGTCATTGTGAGATGCAGGGCAACCTTACAAAAAATAAACTTGGTCCCAATGGGACTCAGCTAAAATGAAGGTACAATAAAATACAACCGTTAGCAGTGTGCACCGCTAGGTAGCTAACGGAGCTATATTACAGATGGATTGCTGTTGCCATAAAACTAGCTAGCTAATATCTTCATGTTACAATGCGTGTTGAGATGCTTTAATGTTAGCCAAAAAGTTTGCTCTGTCTAATGCATAACATTAGCTATATTAGACTGTAGTGATATAAACAATATAGATATTGTCTCTGAAATACACCCTTTCCCCACTGTTTCAGGAAGGAGTGAAGACTGAAAACGACCACATCAACCTAAAGGTTGCAGGTCAAGATGGGTCAGTCGTCCAGTTCAAAATCAAAAGGCACACTCCGCTCAGCAAGCTGATGAAAGCGTACTGCGAAAGACAGGTTTGGCTTTCCTTAAAGTTTACATTCATCTGACTACTCTTCTGCTGAGGCTGATTGGACAACCTTACAGGGCAACTCCTGACCACAGTAACTTGCTAGATGAGTAGATATAACCTCTCCCCTTTATTTCAGGGTTTGTCAATTAGACAGATACGGTTTAGGTTTGACGGACAGCCAATCAACGAAACGGACACACCTGCACAGGTAGGTGACACTTTCGTTATAGTCCTCTATAATGCAAAGATTCAAACAAACTGATATCATGCACAGACGGAGTTACATGTAGACATATTTTGTGACTTACTGACAATTCTATGTATTTGTGTTGGCAGCTTGAGATGGAAGACGAGGACACTATTGATGTATTTCAACAACAGACCGGAGGAGGCTCCTCCTTCTCGGAGGCTTCTCTTAAAAGTGTATGGACCCCTCTCTGAGGCTCCTCCCTCTCTGAGGACAGAAACACACTTGAATAGCAGCAATGTTTTTTTATTTTATTAAATAATTGTTCAGCTTTATTTTATTTTGGGATCTATCCGCTCGTAGCCATGGTCTTATCTTTGTCATGATCACAAGCTGGATTTCATGCCACCTATCCACAAATGTCTTGTTTAAATTCATACTGAGGATGGACTAGATAAACTGCTTGGAGTCATGTTTTGGAGAATATGTATTTGTTTCACACACGGGACAATGGTGATGTGGGGGGGTTCAACTCATTCAGGGTTTGTCCCAAATGGAACCCTATTCCCTTTATAGTGCACTACTTTAAACAACGTGTATATGGTCAATAGGGGGCCGTTTGGGACGCGCCCTCAATCTACCATAGGTTGAGGGACTTCTAGTGTTGAACAGGTCTCATAATATGCAACATGCTATAGTTTTTTTTTTTTTTTTTGTCTACTGTTTTTAAGTACATCTTGCAAAATATATACAGTCCAAGTGATCAATTTAAAACCTGTTCAAGGAATATTGGTGAATGGGCCCTTCCTCTAGTGCCGTTTAGATTGAATTGCTATCTCTGTCTGGACCAAAATGCTAACTGAAGTGTCGTGAACAGAAATGTCTTGGTGATATGATAGATTAGGGGTTTGCAGGTCTATTTTTAACAACACTTGAAAGGGTGCATCATACCTTTCACACGTCTCTGTTTGGTTTCGACCCCCTTCCACACAGATTTAAGGGGAGTAGTTGAGCTGTACTTTGGATTTCTCCTGCTTTTAACCCATCCCACTGCATCACTGATATTTTATGACAAAATAAAAGGGAATCCACCCTGACTTCAACAACCCTTGACTTTCTTTTGTTTAGCCTTTAGCTATAACCAAGACTTCATGAACTGATCTTCCCACCTGCCTTCAGACTGTTGTGTGGACTGGGGCCTTGAATAGGGAACACAGGTCCACTGATCCGCTGTTTCTCTAATGATTTGTATATTCTTTTACTACTGTATCCAATAAATATAGTTTGGTACTCAGCTTCCTTGTTTGCATGCTGTGTGAGGAGTGCTGAAAGACTTGCTGTCTTCCCACATTAGGATATCTCACACCACACATCTTACCAAATATTGTCCCACCTGGAGTATGGAGTGGGCGTTTTCCAAAGCAAGCAGCTAATTGGTCAGATATTACTGCTTCGCCTAACCCTCTGCAAGCGCAGACTCTGAGACTATATGAGGTAGATAGTTGAACAACTCGAGATGAAAGTGTAATATGTTGAACAACTCGACCTACAGCCGATACAGCCGAATAAAATGACGATATCTCGTAGCCATAAAATGAAGAGTTATACACATTTTCAACAAGTGTGTGCAGTCAAACGCTACACTGTTGCAATGCACGAATTGAAAACCTGCCTAGAAATGGCGGTAAGTCGTAGCCATAAATTAAAGGTACCCTAGCAATTGTTACTGTCAAATCACATTTTATTTGTCACATGCGCCAAAGGATCTGGGGACCCATGCCAAATCTTTTCAGTCTCCTGAGGGGGAAAAGGCTTTGTCGTGCCCTCTTCACGACTGTCTTGGTGTGTTTGGACCATGATAGTTTATTGGTGATGTGGACACCAAGGAACTTGAAACTCTCAACCTGTTCCACTACAGACATTTACATTTACGTCATTTAGCAGACACTCTTATCCAGAGCGACTTACAAATTGGTGCATTCACCTTATAGCCAGTGGGATAACCACTTTCCAATGTTTTTTTTGTTTTTTTTGGGGGGGGTAGAAGGATTACTTTATCCTATCCCAGGTATTCCTTAAAGAGGTGGGGTTTCAAATGTCCAAGTCAATGAGAATGGGGGTGTATTCGGCCCTCCTTTTCCTGTAGTCCACGATCAGCTCATTTGTCTTGCTCACATTGAGGGAGAGGTTGTTGTCTTGGCACCACATGGCCAGGTCTCTGACCTCCTCCCTATAGGCTGTCTCATCGTGGTCGGTGATCAGGCCTACCACTGTTGTGTCGTCGGCAAACTTAATGATGGTGTTGGAGTCGTGCCTGGCCACGCAGTCGTGGGTGAACAGGAAGTACAGAAGGGGACTAAGCACGCACCCCTGAGGGGCCCCCGTGTTGAGGATCAGTGTGGCGGATGTGTTGTTGCCTACCCTTACCACCTGGGGGCGGCCCGTCAGGAAGTCCAGGATCCAGTTGCAGAGGGAGGTGTTTAGTCCCAGGGTCCTTAGCTTAGTGATGAGCTTTGTGGGCACTATGGTGTTGAACGCTGAGCTGTAGTCAATGAATAGCATTCTCACATAGGTGTTCCTTTTGTCCAGGTGGGAAAGGGCAGTGTGGAGTGCGATTGAGATTGCATCATCTGTGGATCTGTTGGGGTGGTATGCAAATTGGAGTGGGTCTAGGGCACTTTCTTGGGCACAGGGACTATGGGGGTCTATTTGAAACATGTAGGTATCCATAGAAACTCATTCACTCCCATGGAGAGAAGCTATGTGCAGTTCAAACATCTTTTCAGTGAACTTAGCTATGCTACTGAATCACTTCTCTAAGTCATATGTTTCAATCATCACTGCACAATGAAACATGTATGCAAATTAGAACATTTGGTCAACTGAAAAAGAGGCATTCTGTGACAATTACATCACACATGTCCCTGAATATAATGACAAAATATATACGACCCATAGACTCCTGCCTCTATTAGGGAAGTGGGTGAGAGGAGAGAGATGTGAGGGATAGCATACCCTGTCTGTATGTGAGGGATAGCATACCCTGTCTGTATGTGAGGGATAGCATACCCTGTATGTGAGGGATAGCATACCCCGTCTGTATGTGAGGGATAGCATACCCTGTCTGTATGTGAGGGATAGCATACCCTGTCTATATGTGAGGGATAGCATACCCTGTCTGTATGTGAGGGATAGCATACCCTGTCTATATGTGAGGGATAGCATACCCTGTCTATATGTGAGGGATAGCATACCCTGTCTATATGTGAGGGATAGCATACCCTGTCTCTATGTGAGGGATAGCATACCCTGTCTGTATGTGAGGGATAGCATACCCTGTCTGTATGTGTCCGTTGTGAGCTCACCTTCAGCCTGCTGACATCATGTGTGTTTGTATGTTAATCCATCAGCGTATTGAGTGAATATAGTAATTCACTTGAAGACAGCCTAATTAAAGGCGTCCGCATGCTTCCCAGCCGAAACAGTTCAGAAGAGTTCATGCATATATTATGACGACATTTTGTGACGTTTTTGTTCGTTTTGGACTTCGGTAAGGGTTTTTTCGGCTGTTCGGGCACACAACATTTTTTCTCCACAGCATGATGCTGTCACCACCATGCTTCAACGTAGGGATGGTGCCAGGTTTCCTCCAGACGTGACGCTTGGCATTCAGGCCAAAGAGTTCAATCTTGGTTTCATCAGACCAGAGAATCTTGTTTCTCATGGTCTGAGAGTCTTTAGGTGCCTTTTGGCAAACTCCAAGTGGGCTGTCATGTGCCTTTTACTGAGGAGTGGCTTCCGTCTGGTCACTCTACCATAAAGGCCTGATTGGTGGAGTGCTGCAGAGATGGTTGTCCCTCTGGAAGGTTCTCCCATCTCCACAGAGGAACTCTGGAGCTCTGTCAGAGTGACCATCGGGTTCATGGTCACCTCCCTGACCAAGGCCCTTCTCCCCCGATTGTTCAGTTTGGCCGGGTGGTCAACTCTAGGAAGAGTCTTGGTGGTTCCAAACTTCTTTCATTTAAGAATGATGGAGGCCACTATGTTCTTGGGGACCTTCAATGCTGCAGACATTTTTTGTTTCCCTTCCCCAGATCTGTGCCTCGACACAATCCTGTCTCGAAGCTCTAAGGACAATTCCTTCGACCTCATGGCTTGGTTTTTGCTCTGACGTGCACTGTCAACAGTTTTTTATTTTTAATACATTTGCTAAAATGTATAAAAAATTATTTTCTCTTTGTCATTATGGGGTATTGTGTGTAGATTGATGAGGAAAAACATTTAGTTAATACATTTTAGAATAAGGCTGTAACCTAACAAAATGTGGAAAAAAACAACGGGTCTGAAAACTTTCCGAATGCACTGTACATCGACTGTGAGGAATTTTTGCCAACTCTTTTTTACAGTACTGATTCTACTGTGTCATGTTCAAGGGCTTTCTTGAATGCACGGACCGCTTCAAGTCCCTCCACAGCATTTCGACAGGATTGAGATCTGGGCTTTGATTCTGACATTCCATAACCCTCCATTTCTTATTTTTGAGCCATTCTGCTGTAGCTTTGTTTGTGTGTTTTGGATCATTGTGCTGTTGCAAGATCCATGTTCGGTTCAGCTTCAGCTTTTTGACCGATGGCCTCACATTCTCCACGAGAATTTTCTGGTACAATATATAATTCATGGTTGACTCAATGATGGCAAGTTGGCCAGGCCCTGAGGCAGTAAAGCAGTCCCAAACCATAATGCCACCGCCTCCATGCTTTACGGTTGGTATGAGGTTATTCTGATCAAAGGCAGTGTTTCGTTTTCGCCAAACATTACGTCTGGCATTGAGGCGAACCAACAACTCCACATTTGACTCATCTGTCCAGAGCACATTGTTCCAGTAGTTTTGGTCTTTACCCAGGTGTTGTCTGGCAAACGTCAGTCATGTCTTGATATTCTTTTTTGAGAGCAGAGGCTTCTTCCTTCCTGACCTCCCATGTAGGCCTAGTTTGTGCAGTCTCTTTCTGACAGTTGACTCATGCACTTCGACATTGATTGGCAAGAGATCAAGAGATCCCTGGGCTTCATAGAGATCCCTGGGCTTCATAGAGATCCATGGGCTTCATAGAGATCCCTGGGCTTCATAGAGATCCCTGGGCTTCATAGAGATCCCTGGGCTTCATAGAGATCCCTGGGCTTCATAGAGATCCCTGGGCTTCATAGAGACCTTCTATGAGCATCTTTCGGTCGGCTCTTGGGCTTGTTCCAGCTC